GCCGCTATCCCCGGACGGTTGCCTCGACGGCGGGGGTAAAGTTTATCTTAAGGTTAATTGGGGGAATATAATTAATTATAATATATTTAATAACTTCGTCGATAGTGACCGTAGGGTTTTTATTAAGGGTATTAAATATTTGGATAGAGAAAGCCGTTATTTTAATCTCTCCCTAATCGCTAGTAAAGTACTTACTATTTTTATATTCTTCGATATAATTAATATATTACTTCTTAAAAATAACCCGTACTCTACAAATTAAATTTTTAAAGAGAATCAATTTGGGTAATTTAGTATCGACTATTGTATTTATAACGCTTTTATTCTAAGAATTAAATATAAAACTTCGGCCTTTAAGTAAGGGCTTATAATAGATTAGTACTATTACCTCCTCCCTTAGTTATAAAATAATCCTTTTTAATACTATTACCTTTCTCACACATTTAATTCCGTATTATTAAACTTTAGATAGGATTACTAGCAGGCCTATATTTAGGAAGGTAATTAATTCGGTATTATAATTAATATTAGTTTATTGGAAGTAGAGGAAAGAGTTAATTAAAAGTAAATTAAATTGAAATTTATCCAATACCTATCCGGCAATCTTAATTTTGACTAAGTTTAGTTTCCTATCGATAGCGCCTTCTATAAACAATATAAAGGTAGCCTATTCTAAGAATTTAATTATCTTACTACTAATTCCTTAGATTTTTGTAGTATATTTGGTCGAAATAGTATAATTAAGGGTAGATAGGAATTTACGTCCGATTATTATTTTTATAATTCTTAAATTAATATAAACTTCCGTCTCCATACCCGTAGGCGATATTCGGGCTATAATACGGAAATAAGTGTAATTTGATAGTAGACCCTTTAAAATTTCCTTATTTTTATAGATTAGTACCTTAAAGAACAGTAGGTTATTAATAGAAGAGATTCTCGGTAGCGCTATCCTTTTATATCTTCGCTTTATATTTTCATAAGAATTTACGTAATTAAAGAGTATATTCTTTAATAGGAATATTTAAAAGTAGTAGATATATATTCAATAGGAGGGCGCGATCGATAATAGTAATTTAGATTATCAATACATTAAATATTATTTTACGTATCATCTCTTTAATTTTATTAAAGGGAAGACCTTATAATAATTAATATATTTTAATTTACTACAGGAAATAAATATAAATACCTTAGTAGCGTAGAAAATACTTCTATTATTATTTAAATCCGAATTTTTAGAAGCGACCGATGCGTTATTAGCGTAGGCGGCTTAATTATTTAAATTAATTTTATTATCCTTATTACTTCCCGAATTAATATAGTAAGCGCGATCGCTACGACCCTTATTATAGCGATTATTACGTCGGTTATTATAATAGTTGTTACATCGGTTATTACAACAGTTATTATAATTATCGCAGCGGTCGTTACGGCGGTTTCAATTATTCTTATAATTACAATCTTCGTATTAATTATTTCGGCTATAACGGTCGCAGGTTCTAATATATTAATTAGTAGGGATAACCGCCTTAATTTTTATTACAGTACTAATAATTTTTTAATAAATGTATAAATAATATTTATGGGCGGCCGCTAAAAGGACTATTTTAGTACCTTTAGTTTTAATAAGGTATTTAGCGAAGGTACCTTTCTTATTGGGTAAATTAAAGTACTATTTAATTTTTAAATTTATACTAGTCCAAATCTAGACTATAACGCTATACTAATTCTTACTAGTACAATAGAAGATATTTATAGCGCAGGCGTAACGGAATTTACACTAAATAAATTGTAATAATACGTTCTCGTCGCGGGTAATATCCTTAAATTTAAGCCGATCTTCAGTAAACTTCTTAATTATAGTAGCTAAATTGGGTAAGACATAATTAATTAGTACTTTAAATATAAATTCGAAACTATTCTAATATAGGAATTAATATTTCAAAGGATCGATTTCATTATTCTACTAAAGTATAGCTACGCTATTAAATAAAATAGAGAAGTATTATATAATCTACTTCTCGGTATTAGCAACGGTATTTTTATCTTTAAGGAAAGATAATAAACGTTCGTAAAAAAGGAAGGCATTTATATAAATTAGGGTCTTGCTATTAGTAATAATACTAATATCGTTGGGGTTAGTATAGAATAGGACGAATTGGCTAATATCCTTACATTTGAATTTGAAATCGGATTTTTAAAAATAGGAGGAGTAACCGGTATCGACCGTACTAGTACAATTACGGCTATTAAGATTGTTTCCGACCGGGTCTCCGCCGCTATTAAGGGGACCGCTACTAGAAGGGGGGCGGGGAGAGGGAGTATTTCTATCCTTAGAATTAAAACTATTAGGGTTAGAATCGCTACTTTAATAGCTAAATTTATAACGTTTTTTACAACAAGTTTTTTTAGCCCTACAATATTTTTTACGACGCTACTTATATTTAGAATTAGTAGAATTAGATTCATTAGAATTAGAATTCGATAATAGGTTATTATTAATTCTCGATTTAGGGGGTTTACTATTTCCTCCGCCCTAGTATAAAATCTTAGGGATTTACTTACCTTTTCCTTTAGTAATAATTATACGGACCTTAACTGCTAATTATCTTTAGAATTAGGTAGTAGCCTCTAAACGTCCTTAGAGTTCTACTAAGTAAAGATTCGATATAAGGCTATTGTATTTTAGGAATAGTCGTAAATTAAGGCCGGTTACCTATTCGACATCGGGGGATAAGCCCATTTAAGTAGGCGGGGTATATAGTAAGTAAATCGCCGGTACTTTATTAATATTCGGGGAGAAATTAATTAATTTAGCGCGATAGAATCAGGCGGGGTTAGGGTTGCTAGTATTATTAGCTACCGTAGCGTAGTACTTGCTAGGTTTAATACTAGATTTAATCGGAGGGTAGCCGTAGCTGGGTATAGGTTTTTCGGTAGAGTAGAGTTTAATAATAGGAATTTTAGGGTTTATATAGGTTATTATTTCCGCTAATTTACTAATAGCAGAGGCCTCCGTATTATTAAGAATTTAATTAATAATAGGGGAATAAGTATTATTTTTGCGGAGTTTAATAATGGAGAAGAACTACTGTTCGATAGCCTTAATTACCTTAAATATCTTTTCGGCTTAGGTTTTACTAATATTTAAGGATTTAACTACGCCTTTAAACCGGCGATTAATCTCTACCTATTCTTTATAGAAAATTAGATTTAATTAATTAATATTAGTATTAAATAGGTTAGTTTTTTAATTAATCCTATTTAAATTATTATTAATATTTTTAATTATATTATAGACGCCTTAAAAGTATTTTAAATTATCTTTAATATTTGAAATAATATTATTAATATTTTTATTAAGGCGAGAAATATCTTTATTTACTTTAGCTTTAAGGTTGTCGATATAAATATTAATTAAGTTAATTTTGGCTGTGTTAGTATTAAATTCGTTTTGGATATTATCGAATTCGCGGCCCGTATTTTAATTGTAATACTTTATTCGAGTGAATATAAATTAATTAGTGTTCTTACTAGCTAGTAAATTGGGGGGAATATTTATACGTAGATAATTGTAATTAAACGGAATACCGCCTCTAATCTAATATAACTTGTAGATAAGCGCCGGGGCTTCAGTAAATAAGGTACGGGGCTTAGGTAAAATAGATAAAATAATATTAAATTGAGGTAATAAAGTTGGAATAGGGTTGGATAACTTCCGGGGGTTTAAAGGAGCTTTATTAGCTAATATTATCGGAAGGGGTATGGCAGGGGGAGGCATACTAAATAAATTAGTTTTATTAGGGCTATTAATTAAAAGTAGTAAGATTAAATTAGTGTTATTATTAAGTCTAGTATTTATTGTACGTAAGTTGTAGTTAAGACGAAGGGTGATTTATTTTATTGGGTTTTTAAATATCTTATAATAAATTATTTTAAGAAAGTTGGGGGGGAATAGCGCCGGTTTATTGGGCAACTCTTTATTATCGAAGGAATTAAATATAGGGTTAGCTATAGCTATAGGGTTATAATATAGTATAAATACTATAATTATAGAGCTGTATAGATATAGAGTAGGGGAGAATTACTAAGTGAAATTACCGAAGTAAAATCGCTAGAACGAGGGATATCTATTACGTTAAGGAATTATATATGTACCGAAGTCTATTTATACGATAGTTTGGATTAGGGTAGTATAATTAATTATATTAGTATTAATTAGTAATAATAGTAGTATTGAGAGTGCGTGAGGATTTTGTTGAAGGGCCGAAGTACAATTAAGTAAGAGTGTGGAAGAGAGAGGTAAGTAATTAAAATAACCGAAGTAGTAATAGCCGGTAAAGGGGGGTTGATTGCGGGGTCGATGTTCGCCGAAGAGAGTTATAGGATTTAATAATTAGGAGCGCAAAGTATATTATAGAGCGATTAAGCGACTTTCTAATTAAGGGATTGATTGATTAAGAATAGTTTAGTTAATTGGATCTTTTAATTATAATTACTAAATATTACGGTTCGCTGGGTTTGTTTAGAAATTCTAAATATCCTTAATGTAATTAATAATATTAAAGTAAGAAAGCGAGATGTAGAAGGAAAGTAAGCGGCCGTTGGCCGGCTCGGACAGGGATTCTTTTATGCAAGAATCCCTGGTCCGAGTAGGGCCCACCCTAGCTTGTAGGGTGGGCCGCCCTACTTCCCGGCAGCCGTTTGCTAATAGCAGCCGACTGGCCTGCACCATGGTACTGGTTGTGCCCTGGCCGTGGTACCGGACTAGGCATGGCTCAATTGAGCTCTATGCTAGCCTAGTACCCTACTCTATAGCTAATCGTACATATCCGGTAACACTCTGATACCAAAGATCGTGTGTGTAACCCATTAGTCTATCTGGCTGTAACGGGGAATGTTCCTATGACTGGTGGTGCAAAATAGTCTGCTCGAGCAAGTCAGCGTTGCGGGAGGCTCTTAGAGCTAGTATAAGCACCGCTGTGAAAGCTTGCATAATGAGCACCGTTTCTCGGCTCGTTTTGAGCTCTATGGTATTTGATATCAGTGCGTACTACCGCCGTGCTCGGTCCATGTATGTCCCGTTACCTTAACGTCAATCACAAGGTAACTTGCTCTTCAGGCAGGCAAAATAACCTCTCCACGTTGACTCCAATGACCGCCGGAGGGTACCTTGGAGCGGCTAATGATCGTTATGAGCCAGTCAAAAGATTCCCATCTGAACAAAGATGGCATTCCCCAGCATGCCTCCCACCCTTTACCCTTAGAAGAGGACTCTAAATAATCCGGACGGGCAAATACCCAAGGAGCATCCAGTGGATGTTTTGAACACCTTACCTGAGGATAGAGTCATCAAGAGCGTTTCAGACCTTGGAACCATCCCGTGCCGTCCAAATAATACGGCGTCTTCTTGCTAGTAACACTCGGAGCCTTGGACCTCGGGGCATTCTGGCATGGCACCGGAGTTACCTTCAAGATCGGGAATAGAGTATACCAAGGAACGGTCGTGCTCTTTCTGGACAACCTACCGGTCGTTGTCCGACCGGGGTATCGAAGTCTGACTACCAGACTTCTATCGCAGCCGCGTTCCTGCGTCTGTTTCTCGCAAAGAATCGTCTTTCTGGGGCCCTGGATCACAGGGTCAAATGTCAGCCTCAGCCCACTGTTAACTGGGCCAGGGACCCTCCTTCTGGTGCCGTTTCGCTGTCGTGATGACACGATGTCTACCGATTACCGAGATCTGGGCGCAAAGTGACCAAACAGAACGGGTACACCTTTGAACGCGACGCTGGGGTTGACGTCAACGTAAGCCTGGAGTGGTATAAGTCGACCAGTCCATTCTCGTGGTGCGAATCCGGAAGTGACAGCGGCGGTAAAATTGGGTAAGATTTACCTGCGCTAGAGGTGAGAATACTAACAAGACGCAGTAGATCGAGGTATTATAGGCGGTAATCCGCAAACCAAGCTATATAAGTGGTGGGTTTTAGTGGTTGTGACCTCTGACCTGACCTCAGGCTTCCGTACGATATGTACCTACCTACCCACCTTGTGGAAGAAATGTTAGTCATACCGGCTCGGTGATATAGACAAGAGTTTCCTAATTTTCGGCGATAATGCTCAATTGAGCCGTATGTTGCTTCGGTCCTCTGCGGTACAAATGTCTTTGTCAGTACCTGGACCGTTTGGATGTATGTTTGGATGTGTCCTTCCCTTCATGCCGTCGCAGGTTCGCAAAACCCAAAAGTGCAAGTCCGTCGGGAGGACACCGTACAGTAACCGCTCCACGAGCACCCGAAGATGGAAGGAAGGCCGGGCCCCCACAACGGCATGCTAGTGTACCTCGAGTCTATCATAATAGACCCGTTGTTAGTAGTGCAATTAACCGTCAAAAGGTTACCTATGAAAAGCTTAGCTTTTAGGCACCTGTAATCGTACACTAGGGTCGGGTGAAGCCACCGTTTCCCTGGCCAGTCGAAAGAGGCTACAGGTGCGATTTAGGTTCCAGCCTCAGAGGCAGGCCTTTTCTTGGAACGGCCTGGAGGTGTTGCTGCAGTGCCCTGTGGTCTTTTTTTGGGCGACAGTCCCTTGATAACACTGTGGAGGTATGTGTGTAGAACCCTGCCTTATAGGGCACCTTTACTTGCTGTCCCCTGTCCGCTCCTCGTTATATACAGTAGGTACCTAAATTACAGGCAGGTACGGGTAAGATACAGAACTAGGTTCTGCGGAAACGGTTTCCAACCCCTTGTCCGTAATCAATCGATGCAACCTCGATCCCGGCGTACCATAGTACCTACCTAGTTCTTCGACTTCTCTCTCATTCTCATTGGCACTCTCTCCGTCTGTTCCTGCTTCAACAGTCAAACACCATCACCTTCCGTCTGCGGCTGCGCCTTCAAAGCTCCTGATCTGAATCCAGAGATCCAATGCCTGCCTGTGCCCTCTTCCAGCTCTGAGGTACACTTGACCTTCATTCACACTAGCATCCACACTCGACACCGCGCTGCCCGTCATGTACGAGCCAGGTACGGAGACGGAGCCCAGGTGCAAGGTACCTTACCCCCAACCCGGTGCCGTTGTTACCTCAGCTTGTCACCAAGTAGACGACCAAGTGCCGTCTAGGTGAGAGCTTTCCACACTCCCGTAGTCTTCCCGGTGGTCTCTGGCGTCATTGCTGCCTTCACGCCGCATATGGCTCCCCAGTCACTTCTCCATCCAGTACCGTTGACATGCAGAAGGTACTCTACAAACCTTGCCAGGCTGCCAAAACATCAGGTGTTATAAGGCCGCGAAATACCCTCCTCCATGATGTTGGTCGGCATGTTCGATATCAAACACTGTTTCATTCTATCATCAGTCAAGGCCTCGCTTTCTTAATCAACAGTCGCTTCCACTCTACTGCTTTCCTCAAGTCTGCCTCTGTCTTTCAGTTATAGACTCCTTGCCTCACGGTATCTCGCCTATTCGGAGCTTCTTGATCTCCAACTCTCCCAGTTCCGGCTCATACTCTCCGGTATATACGTTTAAGCCTCTTACTACAACAACTACTTTGCCGCTACCGACCAACCGACTATTAACTATCTCGGCCGCGGCCCTGAAAACCCACTCCCAGCATCTATCAACCACAACAAAGGTCGAAAAACATCGAAAAAAAAAGATTAGCAACCATGTGTTATCAGGTGGTCGAACTTTACGCGGTGTGCAAGTGCCTCTACTACCAGCACGCTGTTGATCGGTGCGCGGCATATGGGCAACCCGGCCATTATCCTCATAAGAAGGAGGTTTTGGTAGGACACTCCTGCGGCATTCACTCGCGCCGTAGCGGACATTCCTACGGCGCATCACACTACTCGGACTCTGGCTACTCATCAAGCCACTCACCCAAATCCTCCTCCCGTGGCCACTATCGATGAAGGATCGTGTCTCTGACATTGGGTTGCTGCTGTTCACTGCATCCAGCGGGGCTCAAACGCTTCGACTTTGCGGACTGGGTTTCGTACATCTTCTCATTCGGAGGTGGATCAGCTGGTTTACCATCTCAGCTCTCTCTTCTCTTCCGGGTTCATCGTAGTCTGAGGTCTTTATCGGCGCCAAAAGACACTATGGTGACTCCTCGTTTGTTATAAGATCGACCACCCGAATTTGTCACTTGGAAGGGTGCAGCCTGGTCCCAAAATCCCAGCAGTGTATTGTCGGAGACCAAAAATCAGGGCCTATGGCTCGCTGAGCCAGTGAACTCACTCCCGCCGGAGGATGGGACAGGCTTTTCTGGGAATCTCTAGTACGACACGGTAGCGCTCCCTCAGATAAGGAATCACGTCGAAGACTCCCTTTAATTATGTCACTCGATATGAATAGTTTTACGGGATTTGGGAAGGCATAGCGTGGACGATGGCTTCAGCATTCCGATACAGCGGGCATAACGATAAACTGTACAACAACACACGACATCTTCAAACGACGGAACGGTTTACCTTGAGCTTCAGTTTGCTCATGTTTCCTTTCATTTACACTTCTTGTTTCACAAATCTCGATACCCCCAGAGACTGGGGTAGCATGGTGCGATGCATACGTGGTACGATACCAGGCGTTTCGGAAAGTCAACTTTTGGTTCTGGTGTTGGAAAAGGGGTTCAGGTTTGCGTTCTCAGTTCAAATTTCCGTACTGCATTTTTCCTTTCTTCAATCTTCTTTTGTTTTTCATTGCAGTTTTCTTCCAGTACAACCACTACACATTGTACTACCAGTGTCCAATTTCATTTTCGCCCTCATCTCTGCGCTGGAAGTAGGGAGGGGACACAACTGGACAGGTCAAGGGACGGGAATATGGTTAATGAAAGAGCACTGTGTGCTTCATAGCCACGTTGCTCATAGTAAACGGCCCGTCGATGGATTTCCTTTTCCCCGGTCACGATATTTCAAGCTTGTCTGGTGCTAGGCTTGGCTGCTCCTGGCAGGTTCCTATGGGGAGCGTTTTGGTGTTACCTGGTCAGAAGCATGACAACAGCTTCAGATTATGGACATACCCATGTCACTACCTATTCATAGCAATTTGATACATGCAAAACGACTGAAAGCACTCGGAGCCTTCACATCACGATGCCGCAAGTGGTTGAAGTTTGAAAATAGCGACAGTAGAGAGTTGTGCCCCATTATGGTATTCACAACTTGGCCGATGTTTACTCTCTGTTTACTGTGCCGTAAACATGAACCCTGCAAGTAGCCTGGCTGTTTCTTGAGTAATTTCACCTTTGGAATCCGCCAGAACTTATCGCCGGGACTACATATGGAAGTTGCATAGTAATTACATAGTCTACATGTTAGCCATCATCCTAACGGTCATTACTGGGAGTGCACGATGGTAACCGAAGAGCTTGTCGAGCCAAGACAACCAAGTGCGAGACGGTCCTTGCGCGCTTAGGCGCTTAATGTGAAGTCGCACAATGTCATGCCCGTACAGGCAGCCGTCATTCGGTATGCGGATAGTTGACTTGGTGTCTCGGTTGAACCATAATGATCGATGGGAGTTACTTACTGAAAAGCTTGTGGCTTCAACCGTCCCGACCTCGCCTGCTTGAGCTACGAGGTCCACTCTAAAATCAGTCCCGCCAGTTAGGTTCCGTTAAGCTTCCCGTTTAGCGGGGCTCACGACTGCCAAGGAGAATTCTTGAGTCCGTTCCTGGGATGCCAAGCTTTTTCATGGGTTGCGTTGAGGAAAGTGGAGACTGCCGATCTGCTGGAAATACCCCTCCTGTTAAGCTTGTATTCTAATTGGGTCAAAGCGGGCGCTTCCAACCCTTTTTCTGGAATCTGGGGGTCCCGAATTGGATGATGTGATGCTGCGGGCGGGACACCCGACCGACACCCGGTGAACACCACAATAACGACCTACCACACCATCTCCGTTCCCTAGCGCAAACACACTTTTTCTCACGTTGGCATGCTCTGCATGTTCCTGACCACCAAGCTTGAGAATCCATACTTCGATACCACACAACACCACCATCTCAAATTGCCCTTTTGTCATCTTTTGGAATGCGTGGCAGCCACATGGTTGCCATGTGCACCCATTTCAGATCCCATCCATCTGAATGCTACTATGACTGCACCACCGCACCGGTCTTACTAATGGTAGGTGACAAACGCCGTCTTCGACATGCTTTTCACGGGACGCCGGATCATCGTATGTCGCTGGTACGATCTCAAGCTTAGTAATTTACACGATTGAAATCCAGCTTCGTCTTCAGCCTCACCTCGCTGGGAGTTAAGGAGATCGCCAACTTTACCCCAAACCTCAACAGGCAGGAGCCCGCCAGCCAAGCAGGCAGTGATATTTCGCGCACTTCACTTCAGTTACATTGCAGCAGTCATCTGAACAAAACTTCGGCAAAACTTCCCACTCGGTCACTCCTCGAGGCAATTGCGCCTCCGTGATATCTGCCCGCAGACGGGGGTTATCCAGAGGCTCCCATAATGTGCCTTGCAAACTCGAGTCTCCGTAACACATCGAACATGCCAGATTGATTTGTAGGCGACCATCTCAAGTTATCCTTACTTCCAGGTCCCTACCTACCGTACATTACACAACGATCAATATCAGGCTAATATACTGTACCCTTGTTGTCTAACGTCGTCTGAACCGGTCGTCCGTTTCAAAGGGACACAAAAGAGGTCACCAACTACAAGCTTTACGGCATTCCAATATCATCCGGAAATCATCGCCGAGCATAAAAAATATGCAAGAACTTTTGACTAATCCGACTACCAGTCGGACTGGCTCATAGCGGGGATATTAATCAACTGCAAAGTACCTACTCACAGTCCGGTGTTGAAACGCATCGCCCATATGGATGTAGTGGATCTTGCGTGGGGGCTTCTCAATTACTTCCAGACACCACCGTGATTTGGTACCTGCTTTACTGCCGTCCCAAGAAGCATCTAAAGCAATACGGATGTCTCACTGCCTCTTTTAACTCCCGGGGTTGATCACATAGCGGTATCACCAACTTCCCTGTCCGGGGTTACTATGCACCCTCGATGCCTTTCTAAGCATGCGCCTACAACGGTCGCATGGCGTGCCTGACGGTCAAGTCGAGTCAACCTTACCGTCCCGATTTGTCATACGCGAGGACGGACCGTTGCTTGTGTCAGTGGAACCATACCTACCTATCCTACCTCCTTAGCCTCATGACGTACCTACCAAGTCTGATACGGATATATGTACTGTACAGTACATATGCGGCTCAAGTTCGAGGGTCGTCAATTGCTGGCTCGCCTTACCCTCGTTTCCCGGCTGCCTGATTGGGGGTTACGATTCAGCTCTATTCAGCTCGGCCTTGGCAAGCTGCTTTTCGCCTGTTGGGATTCGAGGGAGCAGCTGGGTAACCTAGTGACTGGGTGGTGGTTGGCTACAATAGTCTTTGGTACATTTTGTTTTGGTTTTGCTTTGCCGAAGATGCCTGCCTGTGACAGTATTGAAATTACTTCGACTAAAGACATGAGGTCGGGGGCGGCTTTGATTTCGCTGAGCCACCTTGCCTACCTCTCTACAAAACATCAAGTCCTGAAATCAAATTCTTTATTACTTATTCTAGTCAAATTCTAGTGTATATTTCATACTGCCTTCAATCATTCCTAGCCTGCTATCATTCTGCACTCTTATAGTTATATCCTTATTCTGCTGCCTACAAGTAACCAGTCCGCAGTCAATCTACAAAGCAACAGGCAATGTACCGTGCAAAAGTTTTAGAAACGGAATTTGAAACTAGGCTGAGGATCTTTCAGCTTTCACAGAACCGCTCGACACGAAGCATGGTGCATCGCAGAAGTGGATGACTATCTTGTCATGAAACAACGCTTTAATAAAATTAGGCAGAGCACTATGTACCTTACAATAATCATCATTTCGATAATCCCCTAGGCCTCGTACATCGCAGCGATCAAGCTTTCTACTAGCTTTTCCATCCCGGGTCCCCAAGACGGAAGTTCAAGACTTTTAGAATCGGCGTCGGGAAATGGTTACGGGAAAGTCGCAAATCGCAAATCATCACAAGCGCGCAAAATGTCTTACTTGCCTGCAAGTGTTGCTTACACACTCGTCCTGCCAACACCACACAGCCGCGCTTATCGCGGTACCAAGTTTTCGTGAATATGGTATGGCCAATGTTGCAAGGTCACGCACGCATAAATATTTTAAAAGAAGTTCAGGTTCGACAAAACGACAGCCGAGTTCATGTTGGTACCCTTGTACTTACTGGAACCGGACCGTTACGGTAACAGTAATCGACGGTAACAGTAACGGTGTCGGCAATGATGCCGGTAGTATTGCGTACCTTGAATGCAAGGTTATATGCTTCATTCAAACTTACTTGATACAACTTTGATGAAGTGATCACCGCCGTTGTCATGCCTATGGTATTGTGCAGACTGAAGAACCATGCGGCGCGGGGGTATGGTATGATAAAGTTGATTGGTATCTATTGTTCGATTTGGGCACGGCTAGTAATCATGGTCAGTATTGTTTGACAACTTTCAATTATTTCATTCAACTCGGCTTGGAGTACTCGATTGTACATGGGCCTTTGGAGACGTGGTGGTATACACCAAATGTAGAGAAAGTGCTTGATAGACTTGAGACCTCTGCCATAGGTTGGTTCCCTGTCTCTTCTCTCAGTCCGGTAGGTCATGAAAATTACCAGTTCAATGAGACCTGAATTTAAAGAATTTCTATAAAGCTGTCAGCAAGGCAAGGTCCGGGTATGTGCTTATTAGGTAGGAGCACGGGAAATTAGACTCCGCACTCTTTGAGAACGTACTTCGAAGTTTGCCAGTAGCTAGGTAGAGGCTGGAACATTGGTCATCAATCAACAAGTATACTAATAAACCAGTTAATACTACAACGTTGAATAATAATCTCATTAGTGTTATAGAGGAAGGTAAGCGTTAATGATTGTTGAATGAACTATTTCGACTTTGCAGGATCCGCTGACAGACAAATTGACCACGTCTATCGTGTTATCAAGATGCAATAGAATGCTTTGGATAGAGAATAGTTAGAAAATACCTGACACTTATATGTTCGTGTAGAGGAAACTATAGGGACAAAAATGTGAACACTTTGAAAGGGAATGTCGAGAACAGGAAATGTTGGCACAAAGCTCCCAGAAAAAAGAGAAAAAAGAATTTCAATGGTCATTCGTGCGACGTGGGCCTGATTCGAACAGACGCTCCCGAAGGAACAAGATTTCTAGTCTTGCGCATTAGACCACTCTGCCACCACGCCTAGTGATTGTAGTTGAATAAAGGTTCAAAATTGTAGTCTATTAACCCGCTGCATATTTGTTGAAGATTGAACAAAATAGGATTCGAGTTTGCGTGGGCAGCATGGTACTGATCGATCCATTCGAGCGGTCCTATGCCGGACGGGAAGAGAGAGAAAGAAGTTGATGACGCTCACGAACGTTTAGACTAGGGCTTGGCTGCAGAGTAATTTGAGTACGCGATCCATAATCACGCATCAACGGTCGTCTGGAGCATAGGTAGATTGGGTGGCGGGGTTGCGCGGCGGCCGCGGGAGTGGATTTGAGTTGAGGTAAGGAGAGCAAATCGTTCGCAGCAACAGATGAGTTGCGTCAGAAGCGGCAACCACGAGCTAAAGCTAAGTGGGAGAGATTCGAATTGACGCCGCAGTTGGAGAAGATGTTTTAAGAATTGGAAGAGCTTGAAAGAGCGGGACGTGATGAGGAAGGTGGTACGTTAATATGTATTCGGTTGATCGGCGCGTGCAGAAGAGATCGAGGGTGGGCTCGGTAGACACAGCGCAACATCCGCTGCCCGCGTGGTAACATCATCAGCCATACAGTAATGATCCCTGCTTTTGCAACCCCCCCTCTTTTGCAAAATCCCTTCTTTTACAAAGGATTTCTACTGCCTGCATTCCCTCTGGTGGCTATTCCTACAACCTGCAATTTGTAATACTAACGGCCCGAAATTGCAAAAGGGGGGGTGCTAGCAATCGAATTAAGGCATCTAACAACTATATACGGACCGTTAGACTTAGGGTTAGGGTTATAGAATCTTCTAAATCCCATACCCAAAGGCACTCAAAATACCCTAATTTACCCTCTTTTACCCACTTCTTTATACTAATATCTTTTACATTATATTTCTTTTATTTGCGCCACCCCTTTTTACCAACCTTATTTATAAGAGACCTATTCCCTATATATTTTTATTAGTAATCTTATTCCTAATTAAATATCCCTAATTTCTAGCACCCGCTATACCTAAAATTAAGTACCCTACTTTAATATAGGAATAACGATTATAATTCTAGGAATAGGCAAATAACTAAAAAATTAAATTATTATTTATGAAAACCTTAAATTAGATTAAATCGCAATAGGGTATCTAAGTACCACCCTATTTAGTGTGTCGATATCTCAATAAAAAGAAGAACCCTACTAATTTCGCTTAAATTAATGAATAGTCTTTATAACTTAATAGTACTTTTATTAAAGTCGGGTAATAGTTAATATTTAAAACTATTTTCTACTACTAGTAAATTAGTTTTAAAACGCGAGGTATAGGTACTTTTAGGGAATTTTTGTAAATAAAAGCACACAAAATCTAATTAAGGTACTCTAAAGCCTGTAATAATTTATTAACTAATAAGGAGGTATACTTAATCTTTAGCAAAAAGTAGTATACTCTCTTTAAAAAATAGTATTACATTTATAAACGAAACTTCTATAGTAAAGTAATTAAAACTCCTAAAAATAATAAAGATATAATAAAAATAATAGAAGAAATTAAGAAACTCGCAATAGAAATACTTAGAAATAACTATTATAATATAAATAAAATAGGGTTATACTAGTAGCGTACTACTTCGTATAGTTTAATTTTATAATTATGCTTAAATACCAAGAAAGATAAATTACGGATATTTTTTACCCTTACAACAAACGATACTAACGATAACTTCTTTAATATATAGGCAATTAGGAGGTTTAAAGAACCGTATACTCTAAGAGGGTTCAATTAGAATATTATACGTATTATCTAGAGAAATAACAATAGTACGTAAATAATAGGGAAAATTATATAAGAATAACTCTAATATTTTTATACGTATATCGATTGTAAAAAGCTTGGAGAAAAGGTTCTTTTATTACTTAATAATTTCTCTACTTATAAATTTAATATTAAACTTTCACTTTTACCCCCCAATATTATTATCTAATTTCTCCTTTCAAATAGCACTTCTATATATTAATTAATAAATCAAGGGGTATTTAATAATTTTAAAGCCTACTATCGTTGTTACTTTTTATATTAAATATATAATTAATTTACTAATACTTCTACTATTAAAAATCACGTGTCTAAAATGAATTTAAGATGGGTACTCAAATTTACTTCTCAAATCTGGTACTTTGAGGTCAAAAGTGAAACTATTTAAAATTATTAAATTAAATTTATAGTTTTAAGTATTGAAATAGTAATTTCTAGAGCTATTAAGTAGTTGCCGTTAAATATAAATACCCTCTTTGAGTAAATTAATAGCTATATCCTTATACAAGAATGGCTAAGTCTATTCAATTTTCTAAATCCTAAGGACGAGAACGAGGTACCAATAGAGCCAAAGATAGCGGATAAGGTACTTAAGAATATTATTAGGGATTGGGAGGTAGAAAATAATAAAAGTAAGACCGTAAAGGAGGAGGAGGATAATTGCTTATATAAGCCGCTAGTAATAATTTTAAGTAAAGACGTAGTGAAGTATTTTGACGATATATTAGACTGGGCTCTCGAGAAGGACTGTCTTAAGTTCGACGAAGTTTAATAGATACGACGGTTGAAATAGTGAGTAGAGGGATGGCGAATTAATAGGAAGACTTAGGTTACGATTGAGGGGATGTTACAATGCAAAAAAGTATAAAAATATATAGGATTTCAGCACTTTTGACATGGGGTAACCCTCTATTGTAAAACCCCCCCTTTTGCAAAAATTCTGGGCTGCCCGCATTAGTTGCAAAAGCAGGGATCATTACTGTATATTGACAGATGCAGGGGATTTAGTAACGTCGGACAAAATACAATTAGCATTTTCTTGGTTTTCAAAGGGTCATTACAGTAGAATCCTAATATGGAGAAACTATTCACCGCGAATCGCGGGATCTTAGTAGGAAACATAGTCGGGTTCTACGCGGCACCAATCCGCGGATCCGCGGAGCAGTAAGGATTGCTTAGAACGCGGGAATAGACTCAAAGTTTGTAACATCTACTAATCACTAGGCGTGGTGGCAGAGTGGTCTAATGCGCAAGACTAGAAATCTTGTTCCTTCGGGAGCGTCTGTTCGAATCAGGCCCACGTCGCACGATGACCATTTGTAACTTTTTTCTTTCTTTTTTAGTATCTATATTTCGGTATATGTTTTGATATTAATCTTCATGCTTTTCTTTGAATCCTGGAAGCAAACTCGCTACGAGCTCTTCCCCTTTTTTTTTTTTCCTTTTTTTTTTCTTGACAAAGTTTATGAAGTCGTGGTATGACACTCCCCAATGGGTCAGTGACAACAACATTCCTTCCACTTGTTATTATCCACAAGATTCAAGTTCTTGCCAAGTTTAAATGTCATTGCTTTCAAACCAGTCTAATTCGGTTACATTATACACTGGTGTAACTACCAAGGAAGCTACGAATAGGTACATGTTCTAATATAATAGAATGTGGTCAAGGTCATATAAGTGATGCCTGTCATGATAAAAGACGACGCTGATGATGGCTGCCTCAAAACCTTCAGTCAAGTCTATGCCTGAAGCCAAGCTGCCCTCGCAGTCAATAACCAAGCAGATCGGGCCTGCCTTGTTCTCCAAATACTAACGTTCGCGACTTCCCATCTGGATGGGAGGAACCTGTGGGAAAGCACGCCCAGCGGCCGGTCTCTGCTTGCAACTGTACCTGAATGGGAGTTAACTTCAGATATCCCGTGAACTTTTTAGAGATGTGTGGTGCATCACGACATAGTCCGGAGTATATACCCTACGGTGCAATAATCATTATCAGGACAACCTGTCAAGATGCAACTTACCACGGTCCTACCGACAGTGGCGTGGCTTCGCTTCCTCCTTCCAGTCACTGTATCGTCAGCCATAACAGCAAATACCCATCTACTCGGACCAACATGGTGTTGAAACGTCCTTCGCATCATAATTAGACCTTGCAAACATCGGCGAACACCGGCATGCAAAAAACCGCTGATTCTCTTACACACAACAGAAGTGTTGACGTGCCCAGTTCGAACAAAAGGTTGGATGTGCTAGCCATCAACAATATTTTGATGTGACAGAGCTCGGAGCAGACAGAACCGGCACCAGTGACTCCCCATGACTCTTCGACGAGTATATCCGCTGTGATTTCCTAGCATACCACACCTGCCTCGCTCCGACATGAACCCTACCACAGCAAGAAGTCGTCCCAGTCTGACGCAAACAAATAGTTTATAGCCGATCCTGCAAAACTGTAGCAAAAGTCATCATATCGTGCCTCTGGGAACCTACCGTATCGCCAAACCCGTATAGCTTCTCGCGTGGACCTCTCTCTCATCGATGACGCCCTGGAACCTCCCACCTTGCTCGCCAACCCGTCGCTGGGCATTGGTCTGGTGATCGATGCGCATGATGACCCCTTGTAAGAAGGAGAGAGGGCGGTGAAGAGTCTTTACATGGCGGTGTGCAACTTCAAGATCCAAACCACGACGGTGAACAATGATACGGGCGCGAGGGCAATGGATTTGGTCGGTGGATTAGGGATGTAGCCTTGTAAACGACTGGGCTGACGATGGAAAGGTGTGGTAGTGGGTTAAATATCTTTGATTGTGTGGGTTTATAATTTTGGTTCCAATTTCCCGTTGCTTCTCCCTCGCTGCTGCTGGTTCAAGCTTCGTTTTGCTTTCGATGAGTGGCTGGCTTGCCGACTGACCGCGGCAGACCTTCACCAGTCGACATGGAACTATTCAACTAATGGAAAATGCTAAGAGGACTGAAGTCTCGCTCTATAATCTCAATATCATCACGGCCACCTCCGCCGTGAGCGCCGTGAGCGCCGCTACCAGACGTTTTGTCCCGAACCAAGTTCTTCTGTTGTCAAATATGCTGTTATCGCCTATCCCCTCCTTCCTCTGAACGTCATGTTTCGGGTTGACTTTGTGCTAACCGAAATCCAACCTATGTTAAATACGCCTCTCATAAACACCATATCAATCTGATACACCGCAAACGTCTCGTCACACTTTGCGTCGTGCCACTTGTTATCGGTTATGGCATTTTGGGAGGCCCAGAGAGCAGATCTATGGATGACCACATTGTTCCTGTCAACCAAGCGCTGGCCGTAGGTGTGGTAAGACCTGTCTTTGTCGTTGCTGTACCGATGAGAAGCGCAAAGACCGAGTGATGGGTCACCATATAGACGTAATGGATTGGCTACCTAGGGCGCCGGAGCTCGTTGCTGGATCCCGTTGCCTTGCCCAGTAAGGGTCATCAGCGTGCAGGAGACCGATATAGACATCGGAGGCGCAATTTGTATCACAATAATAAAAGGTGCAGCATTAAATCGAGGTCCCAATCAGCCAATTTGGCGAAGTATCTCCGAGGAGGAGACCGCGAACGGTTGCAATGTCCAGGGGTTTTGATAATGCGTCGCTCAAACCGCGTTCTACCACGTAACCTCAAACGTTCTCAAGGTAGTCGGAGGCTGTCTGGGTAACATGCATCAGCGCAGATGCCGCTTCGCTAGCCTTGGATTGGAATCCCGACACTTCTTGCCAAGAACCACAGAGTCGTCAGAATCGCCAATATACATAACGCAGTTCCAAAAGCCGACATAACCGGGAGTTCTGGCCTCGATGTTGACTAGTTCAACAATGACTGCTCCGGGAAGCACGTAAGTGACCGAAAACAACATGTCGTGTAACTGGATAACTCCTCTATCGTCTATCATTAAGATATCTAACGTCTTGTGAGCAACCAAGTCAGAAGCACCCAAATGCTACTAAGCAAGAAGCGGTCCATTTACTGCCTTCGTCCTCCTCCTCCTCCTATCACACACACTCACACACACTCACACACAGAGAGAAGTAGGGCAATTTATTAAATTTTTTTCCCCCTTTTTTTTTTTTTTTTTTTTTTTTTTTTTTACTTTTACAGACTGACTAACCTTATTGCTGTCTTATTGTGCAATGGGCATTGTTAAGTAGCTCCCGCCGTGCGTCGGCTTTTCATGCCTGTGAACAGGATTGCTAACGCTGTAGACTCTGGCCAGAACAGCATGTGATGGAAAGGGAACAATCCTCGCGGGAATTTTGCGTTTGGAATTGAGCGGAGAAGCTCCTTTATGAATACGTATGTAGTATCTAAGGTTGTTAGCGCAGACCCATGAGTTTTTATGCCAAACACTGGATTCGCAAGGGCGAATACTAAAGTCTGTTCTCGTGTCTATGTTACATATGGAACTTCCATTGCTGATATTGAGCTAGACCTCCTAGATCCGATGACTGTAGCCCCTTCACGTTGTTATCCTCAACGGTGACGTGATGAAGTACAAGCGGACTGATACCGATGGGATAGTGCCGTTGGTGTAGACGTCGACACCATACCTCTAATCGTGATTGTGGAAAGACGAATCGACAACGGACAGGGCTCCAGTACGGTCAGGCAGACGAGCATCAACGGCCACCGTATACTCAAATAAAGTACAATCCTGGATGACAGTGACAGAAGGTTCGTTCGAGCTTGATACCAATGTGGCAACCGTCAAATGCCGCAGTCTCCTGGCTCAATAATTTTGGGGCTGTTGTCTTGTTGTGTATTCTCGTTGGTGTTGTTTCGTGTTGGTAACAGCCGAGACCATACGGTAATTATCACAGTCGTGTCTCGAACGTTGCCCGGTCTCCAATTCTGTAGTTGCAGGGACAATCGCAGTTAGAACAAGGTATACTTGAAGAATCGACATTCGATATCAGCATATATGGAAGGAACAGCTTCTCTGGCATGTATAATCGCGCGTCTGCACGTGAGAGCCGTGCATTGTAGTCAGCGTCTGAATTGATACAGTGACAGATGTACTAGGTACACGATATGCGTTACAGTACAGGATGGGCAATGAGATGCGACCGCGCGGACGGAATATATACATAAGGTTTGTGCAAGTGGGGTAGACGTTGGAGACAGTCCCGGCTGGCATCCGCTGTCGACCAAGCGTCAACGAACGTCGACCGAGCTTCCTGGGCACGCCATCTCTCCGCATGTGAAATGTACCTCGGCGCATTGCCTCCCGTCACAGGACAAGCGTCATCGCATCCAACAGAGAAGCCGTGGAAGGTCGACGCCAGGGAACCAAGATGATTTGTGAAACTCACGCCAGATTCAATTCCCCAGGTGATTTGCGCAGCCGCTTGCTTAATCGAGTAGCTCTGTTCGTTGGTAGTCCCGTAGCTTGTCCTGGAAAGCCGCCTGCTGGTGAAAGGTTGACCTTTGCTCGAGGTCTGCCCATAGGGAACCCTTGTCTTCTCTTGTGTCCCTTGTGGTTTATATAGTGTCGCCCTCCCCGTTTTCCCCTTTGCTGCCATCCCGTTCCATCCATAGCCAACACGTTCACATCATTCACTACTATTCGTATACCTAATCCATCGTCACTCACTTCACCTTTTACTTTACTAATTCAACCAACCCCTTCAATCCAAATTTTTCAACATGTCTCTCAAAAACGGTATGTCTAGCGATGGACCAAACCCGCTCACACCCTTCGCGCTTTTGTTGTTGTCGTTGTTGTACCAGCCGTGATGGCGCAAGACTTTCCATGTGTTTCTGGAACCGAATCAGTGCTGACCGTAGCCGTGTGACGATTTAGACAAGTTCCCTTCATCCGCCGCCTTTGACGCCATCAACAGCGCTCTCACCGGCAGCGAAGCTGACCGCAAAGACGCCATCAAGCAGGGCAACGCCGTCTTTGCTTTTGTCCTCAAGAACGCTGCCGGCGAGACCGACGAGTGGCATATTGACCTCAAGAACAAGGGCGAGGTTGGCAAGGGTCTTGGCGAGAAGCCTACCGGTTAGTTTTCCTTCCACTTGCCCATCCATTTGCCTTTGCCCTTTCAATCGTGCCTCGATGCTCTAATTTTGCGCAATGATGATGGAACTAACAAAATTGGTCGTGATAAAGTCACCCTCTCCCTTTCCGATGCCGACTTTGCCAGCCTCGTTGCCGGCAAGGCCAACGCCCAGCGCCTCTTCATGTCCGGCAAGCTCAAGATCAAGGGCGATGTCATGAAGGCCACCAAGCTCGACCCCATCCTCAAGAAGGCGCAGACCAAGGCTAAGCTCTAAATAAATCTAGTTCTACATGCGAGCAAGTCCCAAAGACACCTGCAAAAAAATAGTTATATTATAAAGCATGATACCATAATGCTGTCATTTCAGAAGAACATAGCTACCTGGGGAACGTGTACTGATTTGGTGGGATGGTGATGGTGCTAGTTGTGTTTCGTGTTGTGCTGTTACGAATACTCGTCTGGAAGGGGAAGCTTTTAGGTATAGCCAGCGGCTCTCTACACAACGTAAATCATGTTCAAGCTGTCCGTCAGTATTCTGTATCTTTATCTTCAATAGTCGAGACTTTCATCCCGACGACTTTCGCATTTATCAGTCGCGGATCGTCCAATGTTGTCATTGACATGTGACAGTGCTCGTCCAACGCCAACCACATGCCACCCATGAACTTGCAACTTTTGGGCTAGGATGGGCAGAAAGTAGTTAGCCGAACCCAGTTCGTAACGGGATTTTGAGAAAGCGGGCTGTCAGCAGTGTGTCTAACGACTTATAGGTGTGGCGCATGACGCTTGTGTCGCCCTGGTGAGCCATTCACAGAGACAAGGTTGCGAGGTGTTCGTGCCGTTCAGATCCAGACTGTACACTAGGTGGTAAAAGAGAGGAAGGGATCATGGGTACCATTTGTGCGCGGTGGCTTCGCGTTGGTTGCGACTGGCGAGACAAATTGGAATCGTGAACTCCTTTCGACTTTCTGCACAGCAAAGGGACGCCCAAAAAGATAAGTAGTGTAGATATGGTCTGGTAGAGCGGGAGGCAGCGGGGCTCACGATGGCGGCCGATGGCTTGATGGGTGGTTCGGCAGGCACCGCGATCCAGTCAGAACTCGAAGTGGACGTTCCACTGACAGGAAACCACAGCCGGGTCCGTGCACAGCAGCCAAGAGAATCGCGACAGTTTGCACGTCCACTGCATTGGCGCACGCTACTTACAGTCATCGATCCCTCTTTTTGTGTGTCGGTATTCTTCGGGGGGGTGGATGGCCCGTGCACGAGGATGCAATACGGTGAGAGCATAGGGTACCTAGCTGGTTTCCTGTTCCCGCCCTTCAAACTGTCCAGTCTCCCCATCGGTCTGACACCGTCGCCAGGGCACTGGCCACTGCCGACCCACGATTTCTGCCGGCCGCCCTTGTCGCTAGCACATAGCGACGTGACCTACGTAGGTAGAGGTAGGGTACACCTCCTCCTCCCGCCTCTATCCAGACAACTGCAGTTTTTTTTGGGTGTTTTTTTTTTCTCACGGTCGTCCGCCACGGCGCCATCAAGAAACAAGAAGTGCTTGAACCGCCAGGCCTGAACCAGGATTGTCATCTCCCATTCACGCTTTCCTGTGGACAAACACATCAGCTATCATCGACTCTATCCCATTTCCGGGCCAGCATCCATCCACTTGTATTTATCATTGCCGTCCAGTTTGCTTTGTTGACAGACCCAAGTCGGTCTTTATACTGCCCGCCCTCCGCCCTCGTCCCTTCGCTGCTGTGACGAGCTTCCACCACACGGTACTCCTCATCTGACGGTCGCGCGAACCCTGTCGCTACTTACTGTAAAAGTAGCAGCCATCGGTGTCGGTCTCGGACTTCACATACCACCCTTGATTACCGTTTGAAAGCAAGCCGAAGCCCTGAGCTCTCCCACCGCTGCCACGCCTGCTGCCGCCGTTGCTGGTACTAGATTACCGACCGCCTTGTCGCGCAACCCCCAAAAATTTCCCACGCCTTTCCAGGTTCCCACACAAAACACTCAACCACCACGTCGAGCAGCATCCCGTCCACCTCGCTTCCTCGTCCCTTGCGACGCGCCCACAAACGCGCCGAAACCCATCGCGGGTTTCTGTTTATGCACGACAGCGACAGCGAGTCCTTTCATAGTCCTGCCTTTGTGACTCGGCTCTGGAATAATCAACACCGCCACACCACCTACCTGCTCGCCTCGGCTTCCCGCCTATTCCTAAAACTACATCTCTGCCCTCGTCCATCGACATATCGGTCGGCGAACCGCCCAGTCTCTCGCGATGGATTCACAACCGAACAAGAGGCGTAGCATCTTTGGCCTGGCCACTAATCTCTTCCGTGGCTCCTCTGCGCCTGCCGACGACTCCGATTCCATGACGGAGTCCCCCCAGCAGAATGGTGTCACCAAGGCCCAGTCCGTCCCGCGCATCGACTTCAACAGCGCAACGCATGAAAGCCCTGCCAAGCGCGCGTCTGATGCGCAGTTGGCATCCCGCAAGCTCATCGGCCGCCCTCAAGGCCCGTCCAGCAAGCTTGCCCAGTCCTTCACCAGCACAGACTTCACAGAACTGTCATCGGCGCCGCAAAGGAAGATCACATTCCATACTGCTTCGGCGGCCGGCGCGACGAGGAGGATGCCCGGCGACAACCCCTACAAGTCACCTTCCTTCACAAGCACAGCCAAGGGTCCCGTTGTCAACGGAAACGGTGCCAAAGCAGCCAGCTTTTCTGGAACCGGCACGAGCACAGCGCCGAGCAACATCTTCCGTTCTGGCACTCCTTCCCTTTATCAGCGGTCCGGCGGCACGGCCTTTGCTCCTCGCATCGTTCCTGGCGGTCTGAAGAGCAGCCTTCCCCAGAGCACCCCCGGTCGCACTTCGCGCGGTACCACCGCTGAGCTCCTTGGCGCCGTCCCGGTCAACACGGAGCTTTTCAAGATGAGAATCCCTGAGCCTCCTCATCATTTGACCGGCGAGGTGTTGGCTAAAGAAGTCCCAGATGACCCCAACAGGGCCGGTTCCATCTATGCCGACGAGTTTTTGGCACACTACTGTCCGCCCGATCTCGATGAGCAACAGAAAAAGCAGTTTTTCTGCATCCTCGACTTGAGGCGACTCAAGTATGCCGCCGATGAGATATTCACCAAGAAGGATTGGAAGATCAATATTCTCAACTTTGCAAAGGAGTACGAGAAAAGCCGTAGCTTGATTATGTTGCGGTACGGCCTGTACGAATTCAAGACGGTTAGGGCTTCGGAAGAAGTCAAGAAAGAATGGAGGCAAAAGCATGGAATTGCAGAATCCGAGGAAGAAGCCAGCGCATCCTCGAATCTAAAGACACCGGCTGGCTCGAAGAGGAAGGCCGAGGAGGATCTGTCGCCAATTGACGGCGCCCTCAAAGCTTCCACCACCGCTGGTAACAAGCGCCCGCGCGCTCCTGAACCGACCAGCCCTTCGCCAATCAAGCAAAAGCCTAAGCGCAAGGCCTCAACGGTTGGATCGCCAGACGAAGCCCAGCCAGCCAAGCTGCAAAAGGCCTCGGGAACCCCAACCAAGGCGTCCTCTGCCACCAAGTCTGTCTTTGAGAGCATTGTCAACAACACACAAACCACGGCAGCGAAGAAGGCTGCGACTGGTGCTGCCAAGGCCGCTACGACCAAATCTGCGCCTAAATCCGTATTCGAAACTGGTCCCAAGGCTCCCGCCCCCTCCGAGAACATTTTTGGTCATCTTTCCGACAGCAAGAGCAGCAACGATGATGCCGATGCGGATAGTGATGCCGAGACCGCTTCCAATGTTGATGATGAGGATGAGCATGGAGCTCAGCGTGATGGGTCTGCCAGCACTGGTGTTGCTATCCCTCAGTTTGGACTGGGAAGCCAAGCAGCGGTGAATGGAGGGTCTAGTGCCTCCTCAGACGCCGAAGGGAGTTTCCAGGGACGCAGCATCTTCGACCGTATCACCAGAGGATCTGACGGACAACCAATTCGAAAGCCCGTTCAAGATGGCAAGTCT